ATATATATATATATTTAGTACGGGGTCTACAGGGTTTACAAGGTCTTGCTACGTAAATCATAGTGATCCTCCTGTGTACAGCCTCCCAAGTGCTGGAATTACAGGAGTGTACCACCACACCCAGTCTCAATTGCCTTCTCAGGTACTCCAGGGATTGAACCCCGCCCCCTGCATCTGCCTAAGCAGATGCTTTTAATCCGCTGAGCTATTTGGCTGGCCCTAAATTTTAAAAAGACGTAGTCTTTAATGAAGTAAACAAGATGATAAAAAAAAAAAAAAGATTATCAACTCAGAAGGCCTAGAGAAAACCACAGAGAGAGGCGTAGGATCAGAAGTCATAGAACAGTCATAGACAATGCACCTAATATACCCCTGTGATCCCAACTGATCAGGAGGCTGACACAGAAAAGTTACATAAGACTAGGACTTTGAGACCAATCTGAGCAACTTAGCAAAGCCCTGTCAATAAGCAAATAAATAAATATTCAGAAAACAGACACATAAAAAAGAATATCTAATACTGAGAAAATTAAATGTGCTGATTATTTCATTGATGATGTGTTGATTTTACAATGACTGCTTATTTTTAATTACTGAGATAATGCTAAGTACAAACTAACAAAGTGCTAAAAGCTCACACATATATGTAAAAAGAAAGAAAGGAAATGTCATGACATTTCTGGAGACAGATTGCTGCTTACTCAAAATGTCTTAAATTCAGGGTAATGAACTATGTTCTAAAAAGAATGAAGTTAGGTAAGATTGAGAGAGAGTGATTTCAAGGTATATTCTAGAGTTTAAACATAATAGAAATGTAAAACAAGGAATATTTTATGTTTCATAAAAGCCACTGGACCAAAACCTGAATATGCCCTAGTTAACAATCTGCATTTAAAACTAGAAAAAGTTAGGTAGGAACAAAATCCTGGAGTGCCTAGTAGACAGTGCTAATGATTTAGATTTTTCTTTTGAAAAAAAAATCTACAGAAAGATTTCAGGTAGAGGAGTAACATTAACTGATTTATATTTCTAATCTTACTTTTTATAGTGCTCAGGATCAAACCCAGAGCTCTGCACATGCTAAGCAAACATTCTTTCACTGAGTTACATCCCAGCTCTTATTTTTTTAAACATAAAGCAGGAAAAAGGGATTGTAAGACAGTACAAGTAGGAACAAGGAGACCACTTAGAAGTCTATGGTGAATATGGTGCCTTGGATTAGAGGAGAGGCACCAGTCCTGGACATGAGTGATTTAAATTCTTGTGCTATTTAGGAGGTAAAATCAAGAAGGCATGAATTATAACTGAGAGGAGAGAGAAGTGTCAAAAATGATACCCGGAAGGGCCAGCCAGATAGCTCAGTAGATTAAAGCATCTGCTTAGGTAGGTGCAGGCCCAGGGTTTGATCCCCAGCATGCCTTGCGCACTGACCTGGCGATTGAGACTGGGCGTTGTGACACGCGCCTGTAATCCCAGTGCCTGGGAGGTTGAAAACAAGAGGATCACTACAAGTCTGATCAACATAGTGAGACCCTGTAGATCTTGTACTAAATATATTTTTTTAAAAAAATGAATGATAACCAGAAGATACAGTTAAATGACTGTTGGTGTCGCTCATTAAGAAAGGAGTTGCTAAAATACTTAGAATGCGGAAGGACGTATGAGAACATTCAGAAAGGTTAAGTTCAAGGGGAATCTCTAGGGACAAGGTATTAGTTGTATTAAGTAGAGATACTTCTGCTGTCAGAAGAGGTACCTAGTTTATTTATAGAAAGATTAAGAACATGTATTTGCATGATTAAAAATGTCTTTAACAGCTAGGTTTTGTGGCCTGTGTTCCAGCTTATTTTCAGCAGACTACCAGCAGAAGTGTTAAAAGATTCTCTCTCTCTCTCTCTCTCTCTCTCTCTCTCACACACACACACACACACACACACACACACACATCCCTCAAGCACAAGTATAGAAGCCTCTGGGTTTTTTTATTAAGAATTTTTATTTACTTGTTTTCATTTTATTTATTTGATACAGGGTCACACTATGCAGCTCAGACTCATAGTGATTCTTCTATTTTCAGCCTCCACTGGGATTATAGAAACCTTTGTTGTTGTCAGTATTCCCCCAATTAATCTGCTCAGGCTGCTACAGCAAAGTGCCTTAGGCTAGGTAATTTATATCCACAGTTCTAGAGGGCAAGATGTTAGCAGATCTAGTGCCTTGTGAGAGCTTATTCTCTGCTTCATACATTGAACCTTCCAGCTAAGTTCTTAATGTGGTAGAAGGTGTAAGGAAGTAATTAAGGCTAAGTGAGGCTACAAGGTGGGGTATAATCCAATGGGACTGTGATACAAGGAGAGAAGCAGGGGCTGAGATGCTTGGTCTTGCCCTGTGATGATCTATGTTACCTTTGGACTCTGCCAAGTAGGCACCAGCAAGGACTTCACCATATTCAGCTGCCCAATCTTTAACTTCTCAGACTTCAGAACCATGAGCTTAGGTAAACCTTTATTCTTTATATACTACCAGTCTATGGTACACAGTTATAGTACCACAAAGCATGCTATTCTCAAGGGTAGATTCTGCACGACCTAAACAACACTCAAAGGTTCCATTCCAGTATCACCACATTGGAGTTTAGGTTTCAGTGTATGAATTGAGTGGGAACACAGACATTCAGACCACAGCACTGTTCAAACTGGCTCTTTGGCAAGGAGAAATAACTTCCAAAATTTCTTTAAGTACAACCCTCCCTAGCTATTCAGGCAAAGAGCCTCACTCTACTCATAGCTGTCTTAGAATATACCTCTCTTCATAACTAAAATCCATGTCCTTTTGCTAATATTAGCTGCTGCTTTGTAAAGAGCTGGACACTTTTAATATTGTGAAAAAGATGATTTTAATAGGAAGTGAATATAATTGAATCTTAATTCTGGGACACAGGACAGAGGTTAGTGTACAGATAAAATTTCAGAGAGGCAAATTAAGACTTCAGAGGGCTAATGATCTGTATCAAAGGCCCTGTACATCAGGTTGAGAGGCAGGATCGGTTATCTGAGAAAATGCCACATAGATCAGAAAACACCCTGAAATAAGGAGGCCTAAAGTAACTTCAGTCTAAATCTAAAATAAAATAAATTCAGCAGTGTTTTGAAGTTAGTTTCTCTCAAACTTCTGTTTCAAGGACTGATCCGTTTCACTTTGGAAAGTGCTCTGACAAGAACATGGCTTTTCTACAATATTTGGAGCTAAAACATGTAAGGGCTATAAGATGCTCATGCTAAGTCCTCAGGACACTGCCAAATGCTAGGAGTCCCACCTAGATACCTCGCTGCTGCCCTCTCAGTAGCCACCTCCTTAATGGAGGATACTACTTGGATGTTATAGAATCTACCCTTACTTTTCTGGCTTCACCTTCTAGATCATTGCAACAGAGCACATATGTATGATTTCCAACACCTCTTCCTCTAAAGTTGAAATTAAGGTATAAAAGGAAGATCTTTCAAACACTTTTATCTTTCTACAAGGTATAAAATACACACTCCTGCTAATGATATTATATATTATTTTAAACCACATGGACTAGTGAGAGTGACCTCTTAAGGGAATTGATGTTAAAATAAGGGGGCCACTTCTTTTGCCATCCTGTATCAGAACCCAGCTGTAAAAATTCGTGTGGTGTCTTTACAATCATAAGAGTGGGTGGAATTTGAGTGGAATTTGAGAGGAATCTGGTACTACAAAAAGCATCCCTAGGTCTCTCTTCCCACATGATCTAATGGTGCTGCTCTTATAAGTAGACAGCTGGAATAGAGCCTGTTCCAGGCCTAATTCAACTAATTGCCTATTATTAGTCAATGTGGCTTCTGATTAGCTTGAGTAAGCAGTGTTATTTGGGGAAAAATCTGTCCCTTATTTTCTGGCTTTGATAAACTAGTATCATAAGTACAGATTCAGAGAGCCATTTCCCCAAAAATGTCATCAATTGGTATTCTAAGGTATAAGTGTTTACACAAGGATTAGTTCCAGAGTACCTAGCAGGAAGTTTAAATTCCTTGATAGACTAGTGTCATCTATACTAGATAATCTCTAAAGAGTCACTTCCCCTGAGTTCCCCATTTACTTCTCCCCTCATTTGCCTCTCCTCAGGATGTGGCATGCCTTCAATGGTCATTACTGTGGATATTTTGGACAGCAGAGAGTCTTTGATTTATCACAAACAAAAGATTTCATTTTGCCATGTGATGTTACTGAACTTCCTATAGAAATAAAAGAAGAAAGCAAGTTCACAGAGAAGAAACAAAAATATGAATATCCTCTGATATTTGACCGGCAAAAGTGAGATCATTGATTTTTCTTCAGATGAACATATAAGAATTAAACTATTATGATACTGTGACTCTGAGCTGGACATGGAGAATTCTCCAAAATTGAAAAGTGCAAAACTTTTCAATAGTTTTTCAACCCAGTGGAAGGGAGATATACGTAAACAAAAAGCTAAAATTCAGTATACTAGTACTCCAGGATCATTAAGACTCTAAGTCTTAATAACCAATAGGTAAACAGGACTTAACCAAGGGAAACCACCAAGCAAATGTACCAGTAACAAGAGGCTATGATAGTCTTTTAAGCTTCAAAGGGAATTCAAAGGGTATGTGGGAAAGACATGAGGAGACACATCTAGAAAAGTATAGAGAGGCCATTTCATAATGGACTTTTTATGGACCAGTATAAGAATTTTTAAATTTATGGAATTCACTGTAACAGAATACACAAGAAAGTGAATGGGAAGGAAAAGAAATGAGTTTAGCTGGAGGTTAAATCTAAGGCGCTTGTGGTACCTCCAGTGAAGGTCTCCAAAAAGCACCCCAATGGATGTGTCCATAAAGAGGTCACAGCCAAAGATTCTGTAGTTCTAACACAGTAGTATTTGTTACTGTGATAAGTCACTCTGATCCCATGTGTTGAGTGAGAAAACCATGAAAATATGAAGTAAATCCAGAAGAACAAGCTTCTAAAGAGCAGGTCAAAGAACAGATATTAATGAAAAACTTTAGGGACAAATAGCTAAGATATTGAGAGGAAAAACTATGAACAAGCAGTATAATGGAAATCTGTGAAAGTGGAGGTTGTAAGAGGCAGAAAAAAATCCATTTGTGGAGGATGGGAGTGAGAAGGTCTACAATGATAAAAAAGTAAATACTGGGTTTGACATGAAAAGATCACTGATACTGCTAAAGAAAGTAATTTCAGTGGCATGAATAGAAACCACATTGCAATGTCTGAGTAATAAAGAGATATGGCATAAAGACAGTATAGAGTACTTTTAAATTGTAAATGTAATTTATTTGTGAGGTAATGTGTTATAATTCAATACATTTATACAACATATAATGATAAAATCAGGGTAGTTCAGTTTTTCCCCCTCTTAAATATTCACAAAAAGTTTTTCTGAACTACTAGAACCACTATGCAAATCAGCATGGAGATTTCAAAAAGACAGAAATTCCATTCAGTTGGGGTACCTTCCCCAAAGAGCTAAAGACATCATATTACAGTTATACATGTGCACCTTATTTATACCAGCACAACTTACCATAGCTAAATCTTGGAAACAGAATTAGCCAATATGTCCATCAACAGGTGAATAAAGAAAATGTGGCATATACACAATGGAATACTACTCACACATAGAAAAAGATAAATTTGGGTCATTTGTAGAACAGTGGATTCACCTAGAGCCAACAATGCTAAGTGAAATAAATCAGACACACAAGCATAGTTCATCTTATATGAGAACCCTAAAATATAAATTATTTAAAAATCAAAATAAAAGATAGATGATAGGAAACAAGGAGGTAGACTTTCTTGCAGATGGGAAGGGAAAGTAAAAATTATTAAAATATGATATGTATAAGTACAACTCCCTATGATGACTTATTCACTATGTATAGCCAACATGCTAATTAAAAAAGAAATTTAAAAGTTAATGAAGTGGATAAAAAATTGCTAACATGTAATAGTTGTGGTACAGTGTTATATTTCAGCACATGTATATAGTACATATTGATCAAATCAAGATAATTAATGTTTCCATTTCCTTATCATCACTTTGTGTTTGGCACCAGCAGTGTTAAAATTGTACTAAAAAATCAATCAGAATATATATTTGAGATCAGTAGATACTGAGAAAGATGGGTGGGAAAGAGGGAGGCCAGATGCCAAGTACCAAAAACATAGTATAAACACCTCTGGGGGGTGGGGAGATAGCTCAGGAGGTCCAAGCACCTGCCTGGCAAGCACAAGGACCCGGGCTTGATCCCCAGTACTGCATACTATGCAAGCCCCAGAACCCTGGGTGCACCATGCTGGCCATCAAAACTAGGCATGGTGGCATACACCTATAATCCCAGCATTGGGGAGGCTGAGACAGAAGGATCACTACAAGCCTGAGCTGTGTAGTGAGACCGGGTACCAAATAAAAAAATAAATAAATTTAAACAACTTAAATAAAATACCTCTGGGGTTGAAAGAGAATTTGTTTCATAGATTTGCTTATTTGTGGGGGAGATTTTGATCATATTTAAAGGCAAAGGAGAGGAAAAATAGTTCTCCAACAGAGAATAGAATGTGACTGAGAAACTGTTTTGTGGTTTTGCAAAGTTCAACCCTTGTTTCATAGGGGAAGAGATCAGCACTCATCTCAGATTTCATTATCAGTATAACTCTACCTTAATCTGTAGATGTCTAAATATCTTCCTTCAGCAGGCCCAGATTTGCCTAGCAAATCAGACCTCTGCAGTGGGGCCCGATCTCATGCCAGGCATTAAGGCACATGGCAGGAAGAAAGAGCAAGAGACAAAACAGGAGTGTATTAGGGATCTGGGATGACCAGTTGTTCTCAGGACACAAAAGCCACAAGGCACCAGAACCTCGGCATTTATTTATTACACCTGAGTCAAGGACAATTGGGTAAAGGGAAGTGAGTGTTTCCAGCAACAATAATGGGGACTGTGTTAGGCTGGTAAGATGAACAATGCATTATTGCAAGGAGAAGACAAGGAGGAAATGAGAACTCTGTAATTTCTCCAGGTGCCTCAACATTCATGTGGATCTTAGTATTTAAAACTAAGCAGGAGCTGGGGAGATGGCTCAGTGAAATAAGCGCTTCCCTGGCAAGCGCAAGGGCCTGAGTTCAGTCCCCGGTTCTGCAAAAAAAAAAAAAAAAAAAACTAAGCAATAAGCCTTGTAATTAATTAATAGATGTCTCTTTCCCTATATTGTGAGTTGAGAACTAGGATCTTATTTAACATATCGTTGTATCTTCCCTCATTCTTAGCCAGCACCCAAGAGGGCTCAAAAGACATTTGTGGGACAAATAAAGATAAGCAGAGCAAACAAATGCAAATGGTAGATTCAGAAGTATGAAAGGGAGGGTATGATATGTTTGAGGTAGCTTACTTGTGGGATGTATACTGACATTGTGTGTTTACTAAATTTTACTTGCATGTAGCAAAATGAGCCTTGTTCTACAGAATGACTCCATCTCAGGACACAGTATTCATTCTCTTCTAGAAATGATTTTAGTACTTAGTTATGACTTTGTAAATATACACAGAAGTGAGTTTTTGCTATAAAGGAAAGTTTCCTATGTCACACAAAAGTTCAAGCACTGAATTTATAAAAGTGACTACTGACAAATTTAATTACATGAAATGTTCATCCAGAATAGAAATCATTGTGGTTTCCCTAGAGAGAGAGAGCTGGGAAACTAAATCGGGTAAGATTTAGGTGCAGCAGAATCATCACTGGGACTGGTGCCATGTGAGCTAGGAAATTCGGGCAACAGAGAGAAAGGACATAATGCATATTTGATTAGTTGGCCCACAGTAAAAGGCATAAGTATGTGCTTAACATTTTTCTTGTATCTTTATATGCAGATGGAGAAAAATGAGCTCAACAACTTTACTTTCCAAACGTGCACCACGCAAAGCCTTTGAAGTGCAACACGATTTTAAGTTTTTCAAGTCTCTTTCTTCTCCCAAGGTAGCTGAGCAAAATAACAACAGCCACAACAGTAACCTGTCAGTCAATTCATTAAGTTTTCTGTTACTGCTGCTACAAATTACCACAAATTTGGTGGTTTAAATAACAGGTTGTTTTATAGATCATCTACAGGCCATGAGTTTAGCTACCTAAAACTGAGAGGTCAGCAGATCTGTGTCTTTCTGGAGATTCTAGGAGAAAATGCCATATTACTTTGTTTGTAACAACATTCCTTTCCTTTCTTTTCAAAGCCAGAAATGCTGTCAGTGTCTGGCTCTGTGGTTGCATGTCCTGATTCAGCAAGAAAGATGCTCTGCTTTGAAAGAGTCATGTGATTATATTGGTCACTCTAGATAATCCAGAAAAATCTCCTCATTCAAGGATCTTAACATCAGTCACATTTGCAAAGTTATTTTATACAATATATAGTCAATCTGGAATAATATTCACAGGCTGGGCTATGGAAGCAGGTTATGCTGTCTTTGGTAGACATTCTACCTCTCACAGAAACAGGGCAGACTTAGCAAGTTTTGTTGTTGCTTCCATTCTATTTTTAACACTAGGGAATTAATTAGTTAAAACTGATTTTAAGTTTATCCACAAAATAAACCAAACATACCAATCCAAACTTGTCTTCCATTACTAAGCTATGACTACCCCACTTGCTATAAATCAAAATAATGGCTTCCCTGCATATTCTTCTCAGTCTTTTCTCCTGTCACCCAGGTTACACAATTGTCCAAGTGCACCCTACCTTTATGACACATAACTGACAAAAATGTTAGTATCCAAACTGTATAGAGAACTCCAAGAGGTAGGTTTAAAAAAAACTACACAAAGTTTAGTTTTTTAAAAATTAATTTTATTGAGAAACAAATAGCAATGAAATAGTTTCTTTCTTTTTTTTTTTTTTTTTTTTTTGGTGGAACCGGGGGTTGAACTCAGGCCCTTGCACTTGTCAGGGAAGTGCTTATTCCACTGAGCCATCTCCCCAGCCCATAATGAGACAGTTTCAAAACTGATTAATAGGACAGTTTCAATAATTAACATTGCATATTTCTGTCTTCGTAGTGATGATTCATAGTACAAGATGCAGACATGATATCCTGTCCAGAACACTATTAATACAAAGCTTTCTTCTCATTGAATTAAGAGAAAGTAGCTGTATATCTACCCTATTTTGTATATATAGATACAAAATGGTCTTTTATTGTATCCCCTTTTTTGTTTAGTTTTGTCAGAGATGGGTATTCCATTGCCCTTTAAATATTGCAGGTGTGTGAATTCAGGAAAATAATCCAATATACTCCAGTAGTCCATAATAGTAGTGAGTTATCTGTAGGACTGGCAATGTCAGAAGTTGTTGACGTGAGCCCTTTATAGCTCAGCATATTAATATGGCTTTACAAAGTTCAGGGGTTTTTTAAACAAAGTTTAATAACTTCAATAGATACATCACAAAAGAAGAAACTCCAATAAACACATGAAAAGTTGTCAAACTTATTAGTAAACATGGAAATGCATATTATTACAGGATACTGCATTAGATCTACAAGAGTGGCAAAAATAAAAAAAAGTCTGATGACCTGAAGAGCTGGTGTGATGATCGAATAATCACAAAGTAATTTGTTGGTGGCAGTGGTATAAATTGGTAGAACTGTGTTGAAAAACAGTGTGGCATTGTATGGTAAAGTTGAAAGTAATCATACCCAGTGCATGGAAAAACTCTTCAGAATGTGCTTAGGGCACTGGAATAAGAACGTTTAGAGCAGGAATGTTTGTACCTGAAAGAAACCTAAATGCTCGCCCACGGTGCAATGGGCAAAGAAGTTAACAGCAAATTCAGAAACTGCGATGCCATGGAGCAGTGGCTGTAAAGGGAGTGGCACCCGTATGAATGAATGCTGCAGACGCCATTGGATGAGAAAAGCTTTCATGAGTGTCTGTGTAATGATTTTATTTTTGTTTATGTAAAGGCAAAAGGCACATAAGGTAAAACTGATAAATAAAAGCAACAGTTCAAGGCACAAAATTCAAGATAATTACTAGTGCCTGGGCAAATGGGCAGGAGTGGTCACTCCTGTCTCTAAAGGCATGTTAGACGCAGGAATGTTCATCACTGCATTCCTCTCTTCCAGTATCTAATTCATAGTTAATGTTTAATAATTAATGCTTTAGTTAAAACAACTTTCTAAAAGCCCAATTTTCTGTGGAAACAAAAATTAGAAAGTTTCTTTTCCCTGAAGACAAGGTAGTAGGAACAATAGCACAGAGTGTGGAATCAAACAAACTTAGGTATAACTTTACATAAATTTTTTTTTGTCAGCTGACAATCCCTTAAAGAATTGTTCAGAGGATTATGTGCCTCATAATATTTTACTAAGCATATTTAACATTGAATTAAAATTATTTACATCTTTATCTCTACTTCCCACCCCCAACACTAAATCATAAACTTTTAGGCCTTGAAAGATAGCTCCAGTGGTCTAAGTGCCTGCCTGGTAGGCACAAGGACCCAAGTTTGGTCCCCAGTACCATGTGCCATGGCCCCTGAGCCCCAGGCACACTGTGTAAAAAAATTTTAAATCACAAACTCTTTATAAGCAAATATATTTGCATAGCATATAATAGATACTCAGTTTTGTGAAATAGTATGACCTAGAAATAAAGGTTGGCCATAGCTTTTAATATTCATTCAATTAAGAGATACAAAATCATATAAAAATAACAACTGAAATATTAAATAAATTTTTGGAAATCTTTAGAAAGGTTTATAGATCCCTTGAAACAATGAAATACCCCAATAGCGTTGGGGTATTTGGTGTCTTAGTACTATAGTTGCCTAGTAAAGTTAAAAAGGTCAATTTTAAAGTGGAGTGGAAATGTTTCACTCAGGATTCTCTGATTTTCGTAAGCAATCTCCATTTATTCATTCCTTCATTTTCATTTATGTGCTATTCATCTATTTACTTTTTCTGTTGGTTTCCTATAGTCATAATGTTACCAGTAATAACACAATAGTACTAAATCTTATATTTGAGTATCACCTGATTACATTTAAAAGCTCCTTTGATTCTCATAACTGGTCCACAAGGAAAGAACTTGACTAAGACCACTGAGCTAGTCAGTGAAAGACATAGCATTTGAGCCAGGTTTTCTTATTTTATTTTATTTTATTTTATTTTGTACTAGAGATTGAATTCAGGACCTTGTGCTTGCCAGGCAGGCACGTATGCTGCTAAGCTATCTCTTAGCCCTGAGCCAGGTATTTTGCCACTAATGATATGCCCTCTTTCCATTAAACATTCATTCCTGTGTCTTCCAGGTTCGCAGAAATGCCTTGGAAGCTTTCATGACTGAAAACAGAGAGGCTGGAATTGTTTTTGGTTCTCTGCCTATCTACAGGGTAAGTCAGAGATTTCTAGAACTAGAGAGGTAACACAGTAATGCAAAATCTGACTTTTCATTCCTGATCCTGCACAACCAAGTGAAGTTGGGGAAATCACAGAACCAAGCTTCTACTCCATGATTGCATAAATATATGGTGTCCAGCTCTGGAAAAGACTTGATTTTATGTGTCAAAGGCTTGAATCCCTTGCCTCTGCCATTCTACATGGTAGCTGTTTTAAACTTGACATTCGAAGCTCTTCATTATCTACAAATAAAACCAAAACACTTATCCCAGAATACTATCCTCTATGATTGGGCCTTTGCCAAAACAGTTTGACTTCATTTTCCAACAGATTCTCTCCATCCTCTCTGAGTACTTGGTCAATGTCAAATAATGATTCTGGTTTAAAGAGAATAAGAAAGTAGTTTATTCTGAGCCAATGAGTGGCCCTGTCCTGGATCAAAGCTACCTGGAATAGCACGCTCTACCATAAATTTTCATAGTCCCAGAACAAAACGAAGTCATAAATCAATACAATTTCAAATTACATTGGTGAGACCATCAGGTTGACAAGCCCAAACGAAGCAAGGTAATCTCCTTTGTAGGCTAACCATATCTTACAAGCATTGATATAAATGTTATCATTAGGATTCTTCACTTTACAGTCAGTGGGAGCTAGAGGTATGCTAAGCCTACTGATTTATCACAAGACGTTTGCTTAACTGTCATGAGGATGTTAGGTCCTGTACAAAAGTGAGGACAAATGGTGTTAAAGAACCTAAGGTAGCTCAAGATAATTTTGGGTCTCAACCTACAACATTCCATCACTGCATAATCACAGTGTTCTAGTGGGCCAAGCTCAAGCAGTCTACAGGATCTTTAAAATAGATGCAGCTTCTTCAGGAAACTTTAGTTGACAACTCCACCCATGCCAAATAACTTGCCATCTTTTAAGTGGCACTGGGCTACAGTGGCTACACCTGTGCTACCCATGCCCAGCATTCACCCACACCTTGTTTCCTTTCAGGGGGTTTCCTTACCTCCACCTCTCCCACTCTAGGTTAATTACTTATTAAAGAATTAATCCATGGATCCAAGAAATAATAAATCAAAGGCCAAATATTTCAACTGAGCATCAACTTGTGTCTTAAACATTACCATGTCCATTTTCCAAGGACATGTTCATTCTAGTAGGCATTGATTTAAGCTACCAGATGATGCTAAGGGTGAACTATCAACAATCATGCATGGGCAACTGGGAGGAGGGTTTGGTCTGAAGTAGATGGACCTTCTCACCCCTTATTCTGTCCTCCAAAATGACATTATAAAAGTAACTATTTTCAATGTGTCTGATTCACTCTTTACTTCTGGGCTCCAGGTACCAAGCCCCACTACTCTAAGATTCCTTCCACTCATTGGTGCAGAAGCACAAAGGGAATCTGTGGACAGCATGGCAGCAAAGAAGAAGGGCAGTCATGGTCAACATGAAAAAGTAAGTTAGCTCTAACTCCCCAGGGGGCTCGAATTCCATAGTCTATCTCCCTTCATTTGATTTTCTAATTATTTCTCTGTATCAAGAAACATTCTAGGCCTAAGATGATTTCAGCTCACACTCTTTTTTGAATATTCTACATATATGTTACTGCATTACAGGATGGAGTCAAGACATTGGTCAGCTTCTGGCTGGCTCACCAGCAAGACTTCTCCCACACACTAGCAGGAATATCACAGAAGACCTTACAGTTTACAAACTGTCTTTAGAATTGATGATTCCTTTAATGTTCACAATAAGTACAAAGAAAATGTTAGAACCACATTAGTGTTGTGGAAAAAAAGTGGATCCTAAACCAAGGTGAAGGAACTCACTAAAGGTCACATACAATTAAATGATAAGCTGAGATCCTTCACTCCACATTTCAAGGTTACTCTAGTTAACCATAATGGGATTACCATTCAAACCCTATCACTCTTCCATTAGTTCTGGAAGTTTTCATGAGCCTAACATAATCTGTGCAAATTTATCAAGTCATTAAGATAGATTAAACATAAAAAGATGATGTACTACACAGTAATTTTTATGTCTCCTTTCCATAAACTTGGACAGAAATAAATAAAATAGTACAGAAAGGAAATGCTTTGCTTGCATCCAACTCAATAACAGATAATAAACACAGTGAGACCAGGAGAACAATTATTAAAAACTTTTGTATTTAATTTGGATATTCCAACCATAATTTTTTAACGTACACATTTAATGAGTATATGAATGATTCCTGTTAATCATAAACTCTACCAATGATTCAAGTAAAACTTTTTTTTGACTTATGTGTAAACATAAGAAGTATATAATTCTTTATGCCTATTTTT